TCCCGGCTGGGGGGTAGAGCCCTCAAGAGGGCCTTTTCCACAGAAGCCGCCACGGCGGCATTGATCATGGCTTGGAAGTCTTGGCTGGTTTGGGTATCTTCCATGATCTGTGGTGTAATTCGACCTATCGGGCGAAAACAAGGTTCAGTGGACAGGTCGTGGGGAAGTCACATGCATATAATGATCGACTCTTATCACGACCGGGATGTCCAGTCGGTACAGGGTATATATAAGGAAGGCTGAGTATGCACGTAAATAATAAAATTCAGGCTATGCGTGAATTTGCGTGTTAGGTGTAGGCCCTTGTGCATAATCTCGGGGTCACCCCGGGTGGTGTGCCGTGGTAACCAGAGGACACCCACATCAAACTGAAATGGGCTGTGGCGCCCTAGCATGCGTGTCTGGGGGGGTCACCCCCGGTGGTGTGCCATGAAAAAATACCCAGAGGACACCCACATCAGCGTGCACCCTAGGGTGCAGTAGTATAATATGACCCTGTATAGGGTAACAGGTATGATCTTCCCTTTGAAGGGTACAGTGGTGCCAAGTCCCCTGAGGGGTGGTTGCAATATATATATATATTGCTGCAGGGGTCCTTCAAATAGTGTGCTCAGTTAACACTGGTATTACAGCCTTATAACCTTACAGCTTGTGCATGCTTTATTCGCCCCTCACATTGATTAGGGAGTTCTGTGAGGGTGTTGTTAAACAAAAATTCCTAGTGTAGGGATTGAGGGTTGGGGGGGGGAGCAACAAAATGCCCTAAAGGCACTCCCCCGCGTTCGTTGCGGCGATCGGGTGATTCCCGAGCCGCCGTGTGTGAAGGCAGGGCGGCCGTCGCGGGTCTCGCGAGCCGCGAGATCCAAGATGGCCGCCGGCCGCGTGTGTAAGTACTACCCGCGGCCGCGAGCGGGCTGGAAATCCGCGGCAAAAAGAAAAGTTTAACCCCGGCTACCCTCCACCCGTCCCACCCAGCCCCCTGTAAGATAGAGAGAGCCGGACCGCGCAGCGAGCGCGGCACAGACAGCCGTGACGCCCGCGGCCCGCCGGTAAAACAAGCACAATAATACAAGGTTATAATATAGTGCAATGAAAACAGGGGAACTGCATAAGGAAAAAGTAAAGGGACAGGAATAGGTAGACAGGGTGTGAATGAAATACAATAGAATATGGCAATAAAGGATAAGACATGTACAGCAAACAGAGAGGTAACAAATACTCTGACCTGTAGATAGCTGGAGCAGCAAAGAAAGAGGAAGTGATGTCATAGACAGGGCCTTATATGGGCACCATATCTTTTCTCTGATTGGTTGTTACTGTTTCTATGCTGCTGGAGTTTTCAGTAAAGAAAGATATGCAAATATGAAGCCTCCTGTCATGTAGTAAAATTGAGTTTAGTATAGTGCTTGACTCAATTATCTCCTAAGTAAAGGGGAGGGCTTATTGTATTGTAAGTGGGAGTGTCATGCATTTAATCACTGTTCTTATTGGTCTGTGTCTTTGTGTTGGAGTCCCCAACAAGGTCCATGTGGGTGTACCCCTTGCATGGGGACTGTCATAAAAGGCCAGTGTGGCACCATTAAAATTGAGTTTCTGCTTACCCTCAATATAGAGTCTCATCTCATGTGTGGGGGAAATGGCTGTATCTACCCTGGGGATTATTATATCACTATATAGATTATAATCACTAGCTCTTTTAAGAGCTGTTCCTGCGACGCTCTCTGGAGTAAGAGAGGTTCACCCACTGGAAGCTGGATCCTGGTCTTGGGTCCAGGGTGGGTGGAGGATGGCGAGTTCCCAGCCAAGCTGTAACGCTGGACGAGGGGACTACAGTGCTGATGGTGTCGGATGAAGTGTTTGGAGTCCTCGGTGAGCACTAGGAGCATCGACTGACGGAGGCACCCAGTGGGGTGCCAGGTGGTCCATCACATATGTATTATATTGGGAACTCAAGGTTAGGGTTACCAAAAATACAATTTAGCCATGCGTATAGAGGTTATTATTATTATTATTAAGAACTACTCAGTTCTTATTTGTGCAGCTTGGGCCCATATAGGAGTGGTCAAAGGTGGTCAAAAACCTGTGAATGGTGTGAGAATTCCCGATCATGACACCCTGTCTCCAACTTTATTGGGAGTGGTATGCATTGTTCTAAAGCCATACAGAGGAGTTATCAAGGTAAAGCAGGTGCTGTTTTGGGGCATAAAAAAAATTAATTGTGACAAAACCCCTGGAGAGGGCTATTAAAGGCTGGATACCAGTGCCCTTTTCGTATGCTGTTCATGTATTTAGCACTATTTATTCCCTTTTATCTTATTTACCGAACAAACTAACAAACAGCTGGACCACCCGCAAGTGGAGTGTGCAGCCTGTTAACCTCCCAGAAGCTGTGGTTAACCACAGCTATTTGATGAACGGCTGGGTGGTTGCCGTTCGTATGAACGAACACGTGGTGACGGCCATCTTAAACTGTTAAACGCCCAGCGGTGTTTTGTCGTCGACCACGTGGAACTGTTTTCAGACACTGTTTCACACGAACACCGCTGGGACTTCCAAACTTCCATCCATTCGTTTCTGTTCATACGAACACAGCGTCGTTCGGTACATAACTCACGAATTAGACCGACCCTGATAGCTAACAGCTATGTAACTATTTCTGGACAGATTTATGCCGAACGGTCGGTGAAAACCCTCTGACTCCATGGCGATTCGACTGTGTTCATTTTGTTACAATTATAACTTGGAAATATTTTCTCTACCTGGAGATAATTACGTTTACTATGGCCACTTAACCCAATTATCTCCAGGATAGAGAGGAGGGATTTTACTGTTTATGTGGAAGTGTTTCACAGTGTACTGTATGTTGATTGGTTACTGTACATTGTGTCCCAGTCCTCCACAAGGTCCATGTGGGAGTATCCCTTGCTGGAGGACCTGCATAAAAGGCCAAGCTGTGGTCACCATTAAACAGATCGTTTTACCCCTTCATTAAGTCTTGGCTCATGTTTGGGGGATTGGGAGCTATAATTCACTACATCTTCTGCTACACTTGGATTTCGGGAGATTCTACATGGATATACTCAGCTAGAGTATAGGAGATCAGTTACAATAAGGAACAATCATCATGGAAACCAATAGAATGCATCTCAAAATGAATCAAATTGCACCCAAAATATCTCCTGTTTTGCCTCTAGAACTTCCCCCGTAGATACTTATGCAAAAACAGAAAAACTCATACACAGACACATACAGATATAGTTATACATACGTAAGACATACTGTCATACCTCGGTATGCCACCCGGCACATGTGGCTTCCAGAGGTGCAGCACAGCAGGCACGAAGTCTCCGTTCCCACGCCGTCCCGGCCACAATAACCACCATGCAGTGTTTGGTTGCTCCACGTGCAGAGCAGACCCTGCATGATCTGTCTTCTGGCAAGGCTTCTTGATCTTTTTGGCAGCCTTGTGCTACCTACAGGAGTCCATGGAAATTACAGGACCCTGTAGGTGCAGGCTTTTTATAGCATTAAAGTGGCAGGTCATATTATTGGGACACCTCATCTGCCCTTCACAGGTCACACCCCTTTTTGTGATTTGGTGCAGGGTGATGATGCTGTCCAATAAGATTTTTGTTCTCCCTATTTAAACTTCTTCCTTTCTGGAGACCATTGCCCTTTTGTGGTCTATTCTGCTAAGGAGAGTGCTTACTGTGAATTAGTTTTGGTTTTCTCATTATTGACCCGGCTTTGTATTTGACTTTTCAGATTTTTGAATTCCCTGACTTTGGCTTCTTATTTCATAATTGAGTAACTCTGGTATCTTTGACCTTGGCTTCCTATTTTAACTCTGTATTTTTCGCCTATCTAAGGCACATGTTAACCCGGCCATTCTACGGTCCGGTATACGTACCTCCTCTCTTTTTATTCATTCATTCTGGTTACTGTTTCGAGAGAGAGAGAGAGTGTGTGTGTGTGTCTCAATCTTGACACATACTTCTTCTCCAACAGCCATGGTGACCATACACTTCTAAAATATGTATGGACTGTTGGCAGATTTCAAAATGCAGAAGTAACATAAGTTAACGTGAGCATACCCTAACATGCAAACCCAAGGGCTAATAATATATAAAAGATTAGAAGGTAACGTTCTTAGAATGGCCAACGGTAATGGTACATACAAATACATTCGTACATCCTCACACACATAGTCCATAAAAAGCATGCTTACATTCAAACGCACAAACATTGCTCACAAATACAATTCTGCAAGGATGGGCAGAGTTGTGTTGGTGTCCAGAAAAACACAGTGGATCTGGCAACCATAAATTTGGAAGGATGGTCCGATCAGTCTTACAAAATGATATGGGAATGGAGTTAATTACCATTTTCTTTTCAAATCATTTTCATTTGAAAAAACTTTTTTCAACTTGTAAAAAAACACTTTTCCAATGGAAAAAAAAATAGCACAATATATACAAATAAAGCAAATTAACCCCTTAAGGACACATGACATGTGTGACATGTCATGATTCCATTTTATTCCAGAAGTTTGGTCCTTAAGGGGTTAAATTGCACAGACCATGTTACACAAATATCTGAAACATGTGTTGTATTATATGGATAATGGCCTACATCTTTTTGTTTTCCCTTTTTTTTGCAAATAACTGTGCCCTATTTATATGAGTGACATATTCATCCTAAATAGGGTAAAATCTTTTGTTTTCCTAAATGATGCAGCCATACAGTATTTTAAAACAAAAAATGTAAGGGGTTCGCCGAGGGGGTAATAAACACAAGAGGGAGTCTTGTCTGTATTACGGAGTCCATTTTAGTGAAGCCTCCACCGTAGACAGCTACCTGAGACGCAGTCTCCAAGAAAATGGCGGGGTCCCGCAAAGTTCTTATCCTAGGCTGGAGACAGTAAGCGAGCGATTCCGTCTCCATTGCTTATAACGCGCGAGTCTGTAAGCTTTGCAAAATGAAACGTCACTTCCGGGCCCCTTTGATTGTGTAACTAAGAGTGTGAGAGAGCGGAAGCGAGGCTCGGAGGGGAGAGCGAGCGAGCGGACCTGTCCCATCACATCCACCAGGATCCGTCTGGTAGGAGCCGGAGGTAACGCAAGGCAGCACTGACCCCCCCCCCCCCTCATTACCATGTGCTCTTATGGAGTGTCTAATGCTTGTTACTGAATGACATTAATATATATGGAAATTTAAAGTATTCCATGTTCGCAGGTCTGTTCCAAGATATGAATATTAAATGTAACTATACCTTTCAAGGTATCAGTGTGACAGTATAAGGTATCAGTGTGTGACAGTATAAGGTATCAGTGTGTGACAGTATAAGGTATCAGTGTGTGACAGTATAAGGTATCAGTGTGTGACAGTATAAGGTATCAGTGTGTGACAGTGTAAGGTATCAGTGTGTGACAGTGTAAGGTATCAGTGTGTGACAGTGTAAGGTATCAGTGTGTGACAGTATAAGGTATCAGTGTGTGACAGTATAAGGTATCAGTGTGTGACAGTATAAGGTATCAGTGTGTGACAGTATAAGGTATCAGTGTGTGACAGTATAAGGTATCAGTGTGTGACAGTATAAGGTATCAGTGTGTGACAGTATAAGGTATCAGAGTGTGACAGTATAAGGTATCAGAGTGTGACAGTATAAGGTATCAGAGTGTGACAGTATAAGGTATCAGTGTGTGACAGTATAAGGTATCAGTGTGTGACAGTATAAGGTATCAGTGTGTGACAGTATAAGGTATCAGTGTGTGACAGTATAAGGTATCTGTGTGGCAGTATAAGGTATCTGTGTGGCAGTATAAGGTATCTGTGTGGCAGTATAAGGTATCTGTGTGGCAGTATAAGGTATCTGTGTGACAGTATAGTGTGACAGTATAAGGAATCTGTGTGACAGTATAAGGTATCTGTGTGACAGTATAGTGTAACAGTATAAGGTATCTGTGTGACAGTATAGTGTAACAGTATAAGGTATCTGTGTGACAGTATAGTGTAACAGTATAAGGTATCAGTGTGACAGGATAGAGTAACAGTATAAGGTGTAAGTGTGACGGAAAGCTAATAATAATATTACATCATAACATTTTCAGAACGATAATGTGATAGTGAACGTAACGCCTTAAAGTAATACAATAGTGTTAGGAATACAAAGCTGTGTCCCCCACTGATCCACCCACTTCCCATGCGGCAAATAAATGGTTAAAACTTTCTTTAAATTTTTTTAACACTTGGTTCCAGTGCCGAGGTCCCCATTCTCTGAAGTCAGCCGACGGGGGAACCTACTCCGCATGTAAAGTAAATCACTGCTTTCCTATGGGGATTGAGAAGGTGGATCTCCTGCAAAGTGTGAGGACATACAGCGCTGTTTCACTGAGTCAAACTCTGTACAAGGCCAGGAAGCTCCTCTAGTGGCTGCAGAGCTATAAAGACAAGGACATAGCACCTAGACCACTTTAATGAGATGAAGTGGACTGAGTGCCTGTAGTGTCCATTTAAATCCCATCTAATTTTCTCCTTGGAATAAAAAAAGATGCTAAAATAATTACAGTGGAACTGTCACTACACACATCCCTATGCGTTTATTTTTCTAAAATTATCAGGTTATTTCCATGGCACGTCTGACTGTCCAGGACATGCCACAGGATTGCTGTAAACACATGTACTATTAAGGCAGATGTCTGAGCATGACCAGGGAATTGTGGGGCAACAATGTTGCGCTGATTGTGGAAGTGTTGCTTTGGTGTGTGTGTTTTTGGTTTTTTTTTTCTCTCTCTTCTCCAGCACAGTTAAAGGAACACTATAGTCACCTAAATTACTTTAGCTAAATTTAGTGTATAGATCATTCCCCTACAATTTCACTGCTCAATTCACTGTCATTTAGGAGTTAAATCACTTTGTTTCTGTTTATGCAGCCCTAGCCACACCTCCCCTGGCTATGATTGACAGAGCATGCATGAAAAAAAAACTGGTTTCACTTTCAAACAGATGTAATTTACCTTAAATAATTGTATCTCAATCTCTAAATTGAACTTTAATCACATACAGGAGGCTCTTGCAGGGTCTAGCAAGCTATTAACATAGGAGGGGATAAGAAAATCTTAATTAAACAGAACTTGCAATAAAGAAAGCCTAAATAGGGCTCTCTTTACAGGAAGTGTTTATGGAAGGCTGTGCAAGTCACATGTAGGGAGGTGTGACTAGGGTTCATAAACAAGAGGATTTAACTCCTAAATGGCAGAGGATTGAGCAGTGAGGCTGCAGGGGCATGTTCTATACACCAAAGCTACTTCATTAAGCTAAAGTTTTTCAGGTGACTATAGTGTCCCTTTAACTGCAGTAAATACTCCAATGAGGTTTACTGGCTTGAGGGAATGAGCGTCTGTCATTTTCAGAAAATTGACCGTTCCACATTAAAGGACCACTATAGACACTCAGACCACTTTAGCTCAATGAAGTAGTCTGAGTGCCAAGTCTCCCTAGTTTTAACCCTGCAGCTGAAAACTTAGTTTCAGAGAAACTGCTATGTTTACATTGGTGGGTTAATCCAGCCTCAAGTGGCTGTCTCCCTGACAGCCACTAGAGGCGCTTCCGTGATTCTCAGTGAGAAAAACACATTGAACTCATGTAGTGTGAGTTCAAATCCCCATAGGAAAGCTTTGAGTAATGCTTTCCCATGGGCAGTATGACTGCGCACGCACCTGCGCATTTGGCTCCACTCGGGAGCCAACGTCGGCAGGGGGAGGAGAGGTCACCAGAGTCGAGGGAGCCTGGCGCTGGATTAAGGTAAGTGGCTAAAGGGGTTTTAACTAGTATATTGAATTCATAGGGGAGAGAGAAATGGAGAAGTATGTGTATGTGTATATATATATATGTATGTGTGTATATATATATATATTATATAGAGAGAGATAATTGCGCCAGATTTATTGATTACCATTAATCTGGTGTACGGTGTTTCAATTAATCTTATGTTCAGGAATGTAATATGGGAATACAATACAATATTTGCAAAATAAGGGTGAGTAATGCAAACTAAATCTATCTTGTTTCTTTGTCAGCATTGAAATTATGTATACTTTCTTGTATTCTGTTTAGTTTTATAACTGCTGTCTAGCATTTTTATAATTGTTGTGTTTATGCTGGCTTCTGATTTTGGGGCATGTCATTCAATTTCCACAGAATGCCTGGGGAGGTACCCCCTACAGCAGAACACCCAGAAACATCGGGTATGGTAGATCCAGAAGGCAACCATGATGCTGGTGGTTCGACATCCAACTCTGCACACCCCTCTGTTGGTGCTCACGGGGACATGGCACCACGAAAAGTTCAGTCTTTGTTTCAGATCAACCGCCAGGACATTCAGGCTGTGGACTCAGAGCAGCAAGCATTGGAATTGCAGGGCTTGGGACTGGCAGTATACGACCAGGAGGTGTTAGAAGCTGGAGTACTGCAGCAAGTAGATAATGCCATCAATGCAGCCAATCAAGCTGCCCAGCTTGCAGAAGCCGAGAAGGAGCAACATGAACTCTTGGACGAACTTCGGTGAGAAGAGTTTTGTTTAGAACAAAAATCACCAAACATTTAATTCTTTTGGTTCTTAGGTTTCCTACAGCATGGTTAATGGGTTACTCCAACCTAAAACCTGCATTTTAATAAAATACTGTTTTTTTTGGCTGTGATTACTCGCACATTCTGAAGAAGTACGGATGTCGCAGAGACATGCTGTGCCGCCATTGGAGGGTTTTAATGCACAGAATTGCACCTCTGCCAGCAAAGCTAATTAACTCTGCATGTGTAATGTTTATTACTGGAACTCTGCACATACAGACTGCAAGCACTGTGACCACTTCAAAGAACTGAAGTGGTCTTGGTATTTGGAGAAACCCTTTATGGAAGATTATTATGAAATTGTATATACATATATTTATGCAAACATCTCTGTACTTAGATGGCTAAAATGTCCAACTTAGAAAAAAAAAATCTGTCAGTTGTGCTCTCAAGTTGGCCAAATAAACTTTGTAATGTATTTTAAATTACTTATAATTCACACTTTAATTTGTAACGCAGAATGAGGGTGTGTTTCTGTTTAAGTTGGCCGAAAGAAGAGTTGACTTTGCACATACTGCTTTAAGTCAGGCATTTAGAGGCAGTTTTCAGTCTCTCCTAAAACAAAAACAAACCCATAGCCTGTTTGTGGAAAGCCTGTGTATTTATACCTGATATGTTGTCCAAGACTAGCCATAGCATACAGTACCACCCACTAATATTGGTACCCTTGGTAAATATTCAAAGTCTGTGAAAACTTTTTTATCTTTTGTTCTACACAAAACTACACATCAAACAATTGCAAACACAACATAGGTTTATCCATAATAAAGAAACACTTTGCTAAATGTGTTGCACGATTATTGGCACCCATTTAGTCAATGCTTTGAGCTACCTCTGTGTGCCAAGATAACAGCTCTGAGTCTTCTCCTGTAATGCCTGATGAGGTTGTTACAAGGGTTCTGAGACCATTCTTCAAATCTCAAGGTCGATGCTGGTGGACTCTTCTGTTCACCATACAGGTTTTCTGTGAGGTTCAGGTTAGATGACTTGGATGGCCAAGGCAGGACCTTGATTTTGTGGATCTGTAAACCATTTTTGTACTGATTCTGATGTATGTTTTGGATCATTGTCTAGCTGGAAGATCCAACCAGGGACCATTTTAAGCTTTCTGGCAGATGTAGTCAGATGTTCATTTAATATCTGATATTCCCTGTCCATGATGCCATGTATCCTAACAAAATGTCCAGGTGCTCTGGCAGAAAACCAGTCCGAAAACATAAAAGATAAAACATTAAAGAGCCACCATTATATTCAACTGTGGGCATGAATTAAGTACTTTTCCATATGGCTACCTCTTTGTGTGTGCCAAGCCCACCTGTGGTGTTTATTGCCAAAAGGCTCTGTTTTGGTTTCATCTAAACATAGAACCTGGTTCAACAATCAAGACACTTTTTTTCATAGCCTTCTTTGTTCATATTTACCAAGGGTGCCAATATTAGTAGACTGTATCTGCATGTGGAATGCAAGTTGGTGTCAACAAGAGATTATTTGATACATAACAAATTTTATTAAATTGAAAACTGAATTGCAAAATGTAGGCTAAAGTAGCCAAGTTATATCTATAGCTGAGTTTGCATTTTTTTTCCCCCCAACAGGGTTATTTGTGAATATATATGATTTGGAAATATTCTCCTACAGAGCTATAGTCATAGCTCAGCTAGTTTAGCCTGAATTGGATTTCGATTCTCTACATTTCATAGTTTAGTTTAGCCCTGAAAGTATTCTAATGATCTAAGTGTGTTTCTGGTACATGGCATGCACGATCTCAAATTTTGCATTCCACTTTCCGTATGTTCCAGCCCTGTGCTGAATAACCAGCTTTATGATGCACATCCATTTTCACTTACCATAGTGTAGATGTTCTGAGGCAGTTCCTGCTAGTATAAATACCTGAGATTTGTGGTATCTGCATGAGGACATAATGTACGTCTTCAACTGGGACTTTTTCCGGTCGTACTGTGAGGGGGAAAAAGTATTTAGTCCTCAGCTGATTTTGAACGTTTGTCCACTGACAGAGAAATAATAAGTCTATAATTTTAATGTTAGGTGTATTTTTTTTCAAATTTGAAATTTTCATTTGTTTTTGAAAACATATAAATAGGCAACATTAAAAATCAATTACATATCACATGCATTATTTGAAGTTAAAGTGCTTGTTTATACACGAAATACATAACACAATTCATGTAGTGTTGTTGTACATACTTAAATGACTATAATTCTATTATAGAAATTTAACATGAATTGAAAGCTTATATTCTTCAGAAAGAAATAAACAAAGTTGCATAGAAAACATATAAGACAAACATAATATTACATTATGCGAAAGGTACAAATATTTGTATTTTTGTACCTCCATTTTTTTTTTTAATTCTATCTCACTGTTAAAATACACCTACCATTAAAATTAAAGCTTATCATTTCTTTGTTAGTGGGCAAACATTCAAAATCAGCAGGGGATCAAATACTTTTTTCCCTTCACTGGAATCCTGAATGCTTTTTCATGTATACTTTAATCAGGGGTGCAATTTCAGCACCATTACCACTGCAGATAAAGGTAGTGTTTATGGTGCTGTGATTCTTTCAGGATGTGTGTGTTCAGGCTTGCTATTTTTGGAGTATACAGATATTTGCATAACATAATTAGCAGTGATCTGGTGTGAATTATTATTATTTTTTTTTCCTCCCCACTCACTTGATTAGACTTAATCACATGTCTTGTCACCTTGCACATTGGTCCAGTTTACAGGGAATCAGTTTTTCATATCACTATAATCAGCTAGTTCTTTGGAATAAATAACTTTGGTAATTCTTATTTTCAATTACAGCTCATGTGTCACTTCTTTGCGACAAATTAATAAGATCATCGATCAGCTCACACCACAAGCTGCCACCTGCAAAGAAATCGGTCGTAAGCTTGACTCTGTGAAAAGACAGAAACATAACAAGGTCAGTCGCCCTAGTCACTGTGTTTGTTGTCTTTCTGTTTATCTCAGAACTCATGTAGCATGTGTCATGCCAAGGGTGCATAATTCATTGTTGCACTATAGAATATTACCATTTAATGGAATTTATGTATTGCACATATGAATTGGCCACATGGCAGAGGTCAGATGACAGAACGGGTAATGTAAATTGCTTAAGAATGTGAAAGGGGGCAGATGGTTTACCATATAGATTGATCATTTGATTAATCGAAGGCTCTGGAAGATGTGAGAAGTCACACATAAGTGGCCTGGAAGTATGGTTTAAATATAAACTAACTCTCTAAATTGCTATATGTCTTGATTCCCTCTTAGATAATGGGGGTCCTTTGATTTGTTAATGACCATTAGCCTTGTGTTCCAGTATCATATCCAAAATAAACATTATCTCTTTTATAGGCTTTAGTGGATCCCTATTTATTTACAGTTTTTTGAGCTGCCTTATGCCAGTCCTACTCCCTCACTCCTGTGTAACACATTAGGTGTACCAGATCCAACTATCTCTATTAATTATTACCCACAGATTAATAAGTAAGCCTCATTTTATTATATTTTGGGACAAGCACAATCTTCTAATCAAGCCCAAACATGATTTGCGTAACTTTACCATAGGGGAAGGGATTGGGATGTCCGCTATATTGGGTCACAAGTAAGGAGTGTGGAATATCTATGGAATGGGAAAATGGTAACATTCATAGAGGAAATTATTTCTGTGGCAAGTACATAAGAGGAGATAGAACAACAGGGGGTGGTCATTTATAGTTACAAAGCTTTCCCATTGGATTGGCTGAGATTGTTAGTTATGAGGCACTGAATGTAGCACTGCATCAGAAAGCACCTCTGGTAGCCATCTGAGGAGTGGCCACAGGAGGTGTCCCTAGGCTTGAATGTAAACACTGCCTTTTCTCTTTTATCAGCTGAGTAATCTCCTTAGTAGAAAAACTAGTCAAATATTTAGTTCACATGTTTACTTACAATATAAAGTATGCATGTTGGTGCATATCTTGCTGTTTTTATATATTTTCTATTATTTCAGGAGCAGCAGCTCAAGAAAATTAAAGCAAAGCAAAGACGCCTTAGAGCAATTTTGGGGGGCAGCCAGCAGGATATCGATCATGAAGAAGGACTTGAAGGAGAACCAGAGGATGGTGAGTTTGCGACGGGATGCATCTGCTTTAATGATCAGCACCACTGTCTGCTTCTTTCTGAGTATATCCTGGGGTTCAGATGTTCTTGCCAAACCCAATGGCATAAATTACAAATATGGTATGTTAGACCGTCACAAAAACTGTGCAATACCTGGAGAGAATAATTATAGAAGGAAAGACGAAAAAAACTGAATGAGATGGAGGGGAAAGGAACCAATCTGTGGTGTATATCAGTGGCAAGTAGAACATTCAAGCATCAGTTTGGACAATATTTATACCATGGTACCCAGTCATGAGAGTCATACATATTTAGTATAAATTAATGCTATATTTTAATTGTACTCTGATGTTCAATTTACAATTAATTTTATTTTTTAAAATTTTTATGTTTAAGCTGTATTAGATTTAAAGTTGAAGTTGGTTTTTTTTTGTGTTTTTTTCTAGCTTCTGTGACATGTCAACAGTTTGTACAGTATAATCACCAAAAACTGTTATATGTAATTATCACATTTGTTTTCCAGATGTACCAACTACCTCTTTGGGAAGTATGTTGATGCCATCTCAAGAGTCTGAATGGGAAGAATTGATTCGTACTGGACAGATGACACCATTTGGCACCAAGATCCCTCCAAAAGAAGAGCGCAAGCCTCGAAAGCTGATGTTGAATGAATCGTCAGACTTTGAAAAATACCTTGCAGATCAGGCAGAGATGGCAGCCCAAAGGAAGCGTCCAATGACTCCTAAAAAAAAGAAGGATCCTGTTATCTGTAAAAGCACGTTAGAAATGTCAGTAGGGAAGAAGAAAGTTGCATCACCACCAGCAGATAAAAGGTTACAAAAAAGAATGAGAAAGCTGCAAAAGAATGCCTTCCATACCCAGTTTCGGGCAGGAATTCCATGCAAAAAGTCCTTTCCCCCTCCTAAAGATGGCAACCAAGGAGATGAGAGTGAGGGATCTGTATACACTCCTGAGGAGAGAGAGGAGAGCATGGAGGAGGATTGGCTTCCTGATGGGCCAGAATCTGACTACGAGCTGAAACCATTGGTGCCGAAAGCAGGGGTAAAACGGCCAAGAAATAAGGGCGTGGACCCAGAGTTCCTTCCAAGCTCTGAAGAAGATGAGGAAGAAGGAATCTCAAACTCAGGGAAAAAAAGACTTTACAGAGACGATGGCAATGTCAAATTGTTCAAACAACGATTGAGGTAAGCATCGTGTTGGTGTTTTGTGTTGTTATGGAATTCTATTGAGGCTTATATATGTTAGGAAAACATAGTTTTTAGTGTTTTTGCACCTATTATCTTTGATTTAAGACTCATTTTTGATAGTTATGAACATATACACTTAGCAGGCTTATTGTCTTTGTGCTGGACTTTGAAGGACATTCATAAACTGTTTAAACAAGACATCCCTTGTCATAATGATGCTGTATGTCATACATTGGTTTGTTCTTTTTATTGTTAACATTCATTTTAACAATAGTGAAAAGGCATAGAATCAGAATGTAGTAAACACTGTTTATATTCTTGTCTGCATCTAACTGCTACTCAAACACACCGTTTCCTTTTCACAACCAGTCTTCCTACATCCACCCCTGAAGACTTTTTTCCAAATGGAAAATAGCTTTTCTTAGTCTCCTTACTTTACTGGTTTGAATGCTTTTTCTCAATTTTCATTGCATAGTTTCAAATCAAAATAGCTGGAGTCATTGCAGATTCACAACATGAATTATGCAATCTAATTTAATTATGTGTCATGTAGTTATGCCAAACCTTACCTTTGATAACATGTTGGAGCTTTCCACTGTATGTAATTACTTTTACTGCAAAATGCATTCTGGGACATCAACAAAATACACAGCCAGTGTGTTGCGAAAGCGCCTCATACTTCCCCTTTTGTAGAGTAGTGCTAATTGGAACTTGAATGGCATTGCGGTGAAAGCAGGGATAAGAATTGGTTCTTTACATTGTAATGTATTTGTCAGTAGGATAGGTAGTATGTTTTATAGTGGCAGGTCAATGGTATTATGGTTACATGAAAAGCGCCCAAATGCCTCTAGTGAAATACTGTGGAGCGTCCTGTTTCCATAGATACACTTTGTGTAGGAGTAGTTAAAATTGGTAAGCTACTGTAAAACTCCATGTGAAAAACTGGTGCAGTAAACATTGGGAGCTATAATGGATATATCTCATGTCTGTCCCATAAAATTAGTAAAAACCTTTGATCCGTGTGCTCTGAGAAGGTACAGGAACTTACCAAAGCTGTGTAAAATAGCTACAACCACAGACATATTCAGCTCAGTTAGAGTTGTAGCTATCTAGACCCAGTTAAACAAGGGTCCATGTCATAACTACCTATTAGATTTTGGTAGATCCTAAGATTATGTAACTAAGCTAAAAAAGAACCGTGGTATTACAAAGGGTATTTTTCCACCTCAGATTTGTACAATCATACGAACTGCCGCAATATATTGTCTTTGTAAGAACACATTACAATGACACTCTAAGCACCAAAGTGAGTACAGCTTAATGTAGTGGTCTTGGTGCCTATGTGCTCTCCCTGCAGGCTGACAAATGTCATGAGCATTTTAGAGAAACAGCAAGGTTTATGTTTTTAGTCAGTATGCCTCTAGTGGCTGTAAATCAGACAGCTACAGGTACTTTAAAGTGAAACCTTTAAATAATGAAGCAGAACACAGTTAAATGGACACTAAAGACACCCAGCCCACTTCAGCTCATTTAATAAACTGCAATAATTACCAGACAGCCATTAGAGGGACTTCTGGGTCTTTAGGCGGCTTTTGGTCACCTAAATGATGCTGTATGTCCTCAAGCTATGCATTTCCTGGCACTATAGTTTCCATTTAAGTCTTCCCATAGAGGACCATTATAATGCTTCTCTATAATGACCGCTGAATAAGGAGAATCGGTGGCAAGACCAGAATACCACTAGATGAGTAGTTTAACGTATGACAATTAAATAAATATAATTTTATAACATTACAGTGTTTCTTTATATGGATCTGTGCTCAGATTTATGGTAACTGGAGGAAAAGGAAATACCTCTAAAAGTGTATTTATAAGACCGTTTCCAGGCACATCTCTTGTCCTCCAGGGGTGCATATGGGTGGGTTGTCGAAATCAGTTGTATGACGCTTGGTTGTTTTGAAGTTTAGGTATTTGATAGATTTGTTCCCTAAATGTTTTGATCATTGCTATCTGTATTCTCCTTACACCAGGCATTGGCAAAAACAGCGTACCAAGGAGATGGAACAGCGGGCTGCAGACAATGAGTCAGAAGACAGTGATGTGGAGTTTGATGAAGGTTTCAGAGTTCCTGGTGACCTCTGGAAGAAGTTGTACAAGTACTGCTCTCTGTATTTTCCTTAAACAACAAAAAGAAAACCTATAATGCCACATTTGTATCAAGATACATAAGTAATTGAAGTTCTCTGGCTGCCTCTTTTACAGATATTACAAGGCCCATTGTAACGCTGTCGCACCATAACCTGCTTCATCTTGAAAGCTGTCTTTTCATAATTCCATGTTTGTTTTTTCTTTACCTATATACTTTAATTTATTCATAGTTTTTAAATAATTTTAAATAGTTTCTGATGTTGTACCATTTCATGCAGTGTATCTGAATTGTCTGACCATTGTCACTGATTCTTCTTTTTCTTTATTTTCAACTCTGTTGCATACTGTACTTCATTCCTGTCCTTTTTCTTCTCTCCTACAGGTACCAGCAAACAGGTGTTCGGTGGCTCTGGGAGCTGCATTGCCAGCAGGCAGGGGGCATTCTGGGAGATGAGATGGGATTGGGTAAAACCATCCAGATAATTGCCTTTCTGGCAGGGTTGAGCTACAGCCGGATGAGGACGCGGGGCTCTGATTACAGGCAAGTGGCTGCTCTGTCGACTGCCAGTCTGAGCCACCCATGAATATTTCATCAGCCTGATTACAGGGAGGGGGCGTGCCTGCTGAATTATTCACCACATTTCAATTAGATAGTTTCTTTAATTCATTTAGTGAAAGGGGGGTTGGTGCTTTAAAGTCAGTTTGTGACAGAGAGGGGAGCTGCAGGGCAAGGGAAATTAAAGAGCTAACACTTGTAATGAATTCTTGGCTTGTGCATCTGTGTCTGCGATTCACCATGCATCTTCTCTCTGACTGGCTGATACTAAGCCACAATCTTAACATGCAAGAATTATGGCACTGTCCTGCGCAGAGACCTCCCTATTCCCTGAGTAGGTCTCTGAACATAACAAGAGACAGTGTTTTATCTATTTCAAAGCATAGAGATCATATATTTAAAGGGACACGTAGAAACAGAGCAGTGGATGTGTTTGACAAATTGGAAACAAATGAGGCTTATTTACTAAACATGAGAATTAACAAGGGATTTACAAATTCAAGTATTTGAAGTGGAACATGTTTCCATTGTGTCAATATTTGCTTAAAATATACAATTTCTTTGTCAAATTGTCTTAATTTCCCAGTTTAAGCGGGCACTGTAGTCATCAGAACCACTAATGTAGTGATTCTGGTGTCTACGGCATGTCACTGCAGGCTTCAAAACGTCAAGTTTGATGATCTCAGCCATGTAGGTTGGAGCCAGCCACTGCAGCAGTGCGGGGAAAAAGATGAGTTTAACCCCTTAAGGACATATGACGGAAATATTCCGTCATGATTCCCTTTTATTCCAGAAGTTGTGTCCTTAAGGGGTTAAACACCATGGGGTGTGGGGAGCTAAAAAGTTAGTGTCAGGAATACATGTTTGTGTTACTGACACTAGTGTTCCTTTGACAAAAAACTTCACACAGTTTATATCAATACAAGTTGTGTGGTGAATTGTATGTATGGTTATTGTCCTCTGTGTAAAACTATGGCCATTGGTGGCCAGTTCTTCTTTATAGTTGGTAAATGATCTTATCTCTTTGTGCACAACCTTTTTAGAGAAAAGGCCACCAACTCTTTATATGAAAAGTTCGCAGTGAATCATTTTTTTTTTTTTTGAGTGTGTGTATGTGACATTGGGGGTTATAAATGGCCATATTATATATACATAAATTGATTAGCAACAATAAATAGGGTAGCCATAGGGAAATGTCCCACTTTGTGTTTAGCTCAGGTACTACACGTGCGTATGTTTCCTAGTGTTCTGGAGTTACATGGCCTGATTTGGCATGTGGATTATGTTTCAAACCTCCATTAGTATCTTTCTTTAGATTATCACCACAAGGAATTTATTTAGCAAAATGTAGACTATCCAAGATAGTTTTAAAGGTCTTGATACTTTCCAAGCATCAATTTTGGATATCCGTATTGGTAAAGAAAAATGTTTTAGATACAATGGTCAGCATTCACGTATGCGCAGGAGTATAAGTGTTATTTTCCAGCTAAAGGTGCTAGTTTTATTGACCTTGAATGTTAATAGACGACCGTGCTGGGAATGTAATCTGTGACCTTGAGGTCTTCTCTAAAAGGGACACTATAGGCACCTAGACCACTTCAGCTCATTTGAAGTGGTCTGGGTGTAGTGCCCCTGTAAGTTTAACCCTGCAATTGTAATTATTGCCGTTATTGATCATTTGAAATAATTACATTGCAGGATTAACTCCACCTCTAGTGACTATCTACCAGACAGCCACTAGTGGCGCTTCTGAGTCGTTAGGTGTCATGTGGTTCTGGATGAGGACATCCAGCATCCGCTAAAACACCATAGGAATTGATTAAATGCGCCTATAGGGTATGTCCAATCTCTGCGCATGAGCATTAGGTCCCCGACGTCGAGGGGAGGAGAAGTTGAGGCGGAAAATGACCCAGCGTGGAGGGAGATCTTCGCTGGATTCAGGTAAGGGACAAAAGGTGTTTTTGGGGTTTTTTTTTAACCCTTGCTTCACGAAGTTTGGGGGGGGGGGCGCACATACACGAATGAGGTGGGCACTATAGGATACTATAATGCTATGAATACAACCGGTATCTGCGGCATCAGAGATGTTAAATTAATAAATTAATTAAATTCATTTTATTTGATTGTATTATCATGGTGTTATGAAGCAGTGGGGCAAATGTCATCCTCAGGTTCAAATTCTGAAGAAGGATATGGTGGTAAATGGTTTTAAATAAAAGGGAGTCAGGTCGTCTAAAACTGGCAGTTTGGTGGTTAATAAAGTTAAAACTTTTAAAAGGTTTATGTTGTGTTTATTGTTATGAAAATGATGGCTGTATGCCCGTTAAGCTTTGAGCCACCAGAGCCAAGCCTATTGAAAGTAAATTTACTTTGTCTTCTGTTTGTGTGGGCTAATTTTATTTATACAAATATGGCCTACCATCGATATAGAATTCCTGATTATCTGCTCTACTAGTCCCCTAGACACCCCATATAGATGGAACCACAGTATGATTTACATTGACTAAATCAAGTAAGCATTTTACCAAGCATACATTTAATTGTATGGCTTTTTAAAACTGTAACTAGCAGATTTATTCACTAAAATAGGAATTTACAAAGAAATTGCACATTTTAGGTCAAAATAAACTAAAATGTGTAATTCTGTGGTCAATTGATAATTTCTAGAAGCATCAGTAGGCTAATTGGTGTTGGAGCCCGGGCATATCAATTGGCATAGTGGCTAAACCGCGTGTCATTGTAAACTTGAAGTCAATCTTTCCATTTTGCAGATTATCGAATAAACCGATGTCCCTCTGTAGACGGGTTAGCCAATATGTCATTGTGTACCTCTAATCTATGATACTTGGGTTGTTGTTAATTATTTGTGGCCTGTAGACATTAGATAGTGTGATGGCTTCAGAGACCTAATAGATTTTCCATTATGAGAAAAGCTTTGAGTTGGGTGTTGAGGAAACTCAAATCAGATTGTCAGCTCCTGTGGTCAGCATTATGGACAACAAGACAGGGCAGAGGGTGGCAGTCACCCACAGGATTTTTGACTATTCATCCAATACTATTTCTAATCTTTTGCAGGTATCAAGGACTTGGGCCCTGTATAATTGTGTGCCCTGCTACTGTAATGCACCAGTGGGTCAAAGAGTTCCATGCTTGGTGGCCACAGTTCCGTGTTGCAGTGCTTCATGAAACTGGAAGCTTCGCTGGCAAAAAGGTAATTATTCAGCAGACAATCAGACTTTCTTTTGTACAACTGTCACCCCCAAAACTATTTTAATGTATTTTCATCATGTTTTGAGAGAGAGAGAGAGAGAGAGAAAAACAAAGTAGGATCGCACTCTCAGGGCTTTTTAAAAATAAAACATATATATGTGTGTGTGTATATGTATATATGTGTGTGTATATATATATATATATATATATATATATATATATATATATATATGTATATTTTATTAATTGAAGTATGTATAAAAAGAAAGCAAAACATGAAAAGCTCATCCCTACTTTTTAGTATATGACAGGATCCTTCAGCCATATTCATACACCTAGATTGACAGTTGGCCTCTATGGTCTTTCCTGCTTCAATCCATGCAGGGAAGACCAGAGAGACTAACCAGGGGTTTTGAAGCACTGTGTGACCCAAGTTGCATATGGCTTAATGATCCTGTCATATACTAAAGGTGGGATGGTTTTTCTAAGTTATTTTTCTTTTCATATACTTCATTTTAAGAATTATACTTCCTTGCCAAACTTGATGAAAGAATTATTGTATTAAAAATAGGTTTAGGGTGACAGTTGTCCTTTAAGAAAGCCAGCACTTTCTCTTTTTACATTTTCTTTCTTTGGAGTAATACGTCTGTGATACGCTCTTGTATGTATTACATTTTGTCGATGTTCGTCTTTAGTTGGATGCCACGATACATGCCCTGGTTTGCTCCTTGTTTAATCGGTGATGAAGGTGTAATTAAGGGCAGTGTGTGTAAGGGTTCGTCTTGTGAATCCTTGCATTACTACACTGACAGACGGATTTATCTCTCCTGACTTCTCAGGAGCACAGAATGCTCCCTTGGGTCCCAAAAGGAGCGAAGTGTTCTCTGCTGAAAAGCAGAGCCTGCTGCGTCAGGATAATTACTGGCGCAGGCCAATTAATCTAACGAGAAGAGAGACGGACGAGGCCTGTCTTACTGATGTTTTACAGGAAGTCTGTGGAGAGAGGTTTATTAAGGACCACTGTATAGGATTTTATTAGCTATACTCATAATGACAGTGTGCTATATAGGGCTTTTACAGAGTGGAAGGCTGAGGTGATATTCATTACGATTATTTCTAGAACTGGCTTAACACCTCCAACGTCTGTGAATGCAGAGGGTTTTTTTGTTTGTTTGTTCGTTTTAACCAAAAGATCCTGAACAATGACCACTATGTAAGATTGTTTACTCTTCTGTGCAAATATTAGGACGGTTATTTTGTAAAAGACTGACCAGATTTCTTCCTATAGGGGGAGCACACTGAAAAAAATAATCTAACAAACCACCCTACAGCAAAAGATACATTTAAATACAGTCTCTTGGGAAGTTTTGTAACCCTAGTCTGAAATCTCTAGAAAAGTACAATATTTATAGGTCTGCTGTACCTGTACTCTGACTAAACAGTATCTGGATAATCATTGCACTCAATTATTAACTGATGTCATGGGTCACTTTTTTGCTCCTGAAGTTGCCTGTCTTTTAAATCCGCTTCTAAAACACAACCGTGCCTATGTATATGACATCACCTATTGGGCACATCTTACAGAACATAGTGTTTCCTGTTGAAGGTGGTAGGAGAAAAGTGTTCCTGACAAAATGGACAGGGAAAAGAGATGTTTATTTGTGCATATATTTATAATTTGTACATACTTGTGAATGTTCTCATTCAAACTGCAGGATACATCTCTAGACACAGCCATTAGAGGCAGTATTAGCATTGCAATGTTTAACTTTGCAGCACTAAGGGGGGCAGGGAGACTGCATCCAGACTACTTCAATGAGATGAAGAGGTCTGGGTCCTTAGTATCCATTTAAAGCCTATGTACAAGAAAAATAAAGGGGATACGAAGATAATATCCCAAATAAAGTACAGGTGAAACCACCAGGTATTTAAAACATATAGGCCTAAGTGCAATACAAATATCCTAATCATTAATCAAATCTGTGTCTATGTGTAATTTAGGTTTCATTATTATAGGCCGCTGAAGTAATATTGTTTTAGTGTCTTAGACTATGTTCATTTAAAACATGCCTACTTGTTGAATTGTACCCTTCCCCACATATTATGTACGAAATAAAATCCTATTTCTAGAGAGAAAGTGTAAATGAGTGGCTGATGTTTGTCATGTCATTATTTTGTGCAGTCACGATTAATTGGAGAGGTGGGAAATAGTTCCGGTATCCTCATTACCTCTTATTCATACGTGCGCCTGATGCAGGAGGAGCTGCAGAGGTACCACTGGCACTACATCATCTTGGACGAGGGACATAAGATTCGCAACCCAAATGCAGCTGTGACAATCGCATGCAAACAGGTGAGTGTGCAAGATAGTAATGATAAGCATTTTGGTAATTGTTGGTGAGTTAAACTTGCATGCTTGATACAGTCACTCACAGTAGAGTTGTGTATCTGTGTGATACTGGTAGGTTAGGTTAGTATTAGGATGGTGGGTTCTCTGTGTGTGATATCGGTGATTGTGTTTGATAGTGATAGAATACTTAGCAGTATTTGGGAGTATGTCTGTGATGCTGATTAGAAACGATAGCAGTATGGTTTTAATATGGATAAACAGCTGCATGTGTGATGCTAAAAGATGAGTGACAGTTCTGTGTCATATTTATAAGCGGCTTGTGGTAGCTGTTTGTGTTTTGCTGATAGGTGAGAGATAGCTGTGTGCCATACTACTATGTGAGCATTGGTGTGTATAAACTATATCTCTGACAGTGTGTGATAATGATAGGCGAGAGACCATGATCATGTAAGATAGTGAGAGATTGTGATCTGTGTCATATGGATAGGGGAGAGATAGCACAGAGTTAGGTCAAATATAATGATAGAAGAATGCAAGTTGTGTATAGCAATTCATATAGGGGAGTCATAGATATTCTAACAGGAAATTGATAGCTCTGTATGTAATGCTCATTGGTATTGTCATTTTGTTAGGAGAGTAATAGCTGACACTATTAGGTAATTGATAGTGTATAATAATGATAGGTGAGCAATGAGTTAATTATACGTTTCAATGCACTGGTAGACAAGAAAAAGCAGTGTTTGTGCTGTCACTGTATTTCTGTGATGAAAAGCACAGTAATTTTAAGCAGTTTCAGATGCTTAAAAAACAAAACAAAAAACAGACTATTCAAGGATATATTAATTAAAGCGACACTCTAGGCCAGGGATAGGCAACCGTCGGCACTGCAGATGTTTTGGACTACACCTCCCATGATGCTTTGCCTGCATTATGGCTGTTAGAGCATTGTGGGAGATGAAGTCCACAACATCTGGCGTGCCAAAGGTTGTCTACCCCTGCTCTAGGCATCAGAACCACTACAGCTTATTGCAGTGGTTCTGTGGCAAAGAGACTGTTCCTACAGTGTATATACAGTCTTCCTGGTGCTGTTCTGGAAAGAATGAAGGACCAATGTTTTAATGCATATCTGTGGGGATTGTAAATAAAGTAATTGTATCTCTATGAGGATATGCTGATTAGTGCAGTGATTGCCACACATGTGCACAAGCCTTCCCAATGCTTCCATAAGTAATGATGGAGCGACAGGCACTGCCAGAACAGCACACCAGGGGATAGAAGGTGAATTAATCTTATTTTTCGTTTATGTAAAAGACTTTTTACTTTAGAAAAAAATTTGCATTCCAATCGTTCTTATTGATTTGAGCAGAAAGCTGTGTGTTTGGTGCATTTGTAAGATGTTTGTGTGATTACATCTTGGCATTAGCTGCCTTTATTGTAATCACAGAGAAGCTGGTTCTGTGTTTGTGTGATTATAGGTTGGTGATAACTGTGTAGGTGTTTACAGGCATGCTTTATTTATTATAAACAAACATTTTCTTTCACATTCACTTAGTTCCGTACTCCTCATCGTATCATCCTGTCTGGGTCCCCTATGCAAAACAACCTACGGGAACTGTGGTCCTTGTTTGACTTTGTATTCCCAGGAAAACTTGGCACTCTGCCTGTATTCATGGAGCAATTCTCGGTCCCCATCACTATGGGCGGATATTCCAATGCCTCACCAGTCCAGGTATGTATCCACTTTCACTTAGTAACTACAACTAGTATGATGCATTTTTTCATCATGTAGGCACAATAAACTAATCTGCATTCTAGAGATAATAAAAGATACCCAAAACACCTGTATGTTATGAAGCTCAGATGTCGGATGACATTGATAAACACAGATCTACACACCTGTCAAACCATAAGACTTGCTTTTCCCACAGAAATCTCACACTTGCAGTGATGTTACTACACCCATAATCCCTTGTAGTAGTAACATCACTGCAAATTTGAGATTTCTGAGGGAAAAGCAAGTCTTATGGCTTGACTGGTGTGCAGATCTCTGTTTAATAATGTATTAGCTATCCCCTGACTGACAGGTGGAATATATTCTCCCACCATAAATTTCTTAATTTGTGATACATTATATTCTATATAAAAACAAATATGATCCAGCGCATTCATCCATTCACTAAACAGCAATTTCAAAGCTCACACAATGTAATAGGGTTTTGTTTTTGTTTTTTAAAGCTTGCACAATGTAAGACCTGACCATCCACCTCAAAACATGATTCATCAGACAACCATTTTGCATTGCTCCATAGTCCTGTTCTGATACTTACCTTCTTTTTGAAGGCATTTTGGTGGTGGACAGGAGTCATTATGAGCACTCTGACCGGTCTGCAGCTAGGCAGCCCTATGTGCAGCAAACTGCGATGCACTGTGTTCTGACACCTTTCTATCATGGCCAGAATTACATTTTTCAGCAATTCGAGCTACAGTAGCTCTACTCTAATTGGAGCCGACTGGCAAGCCTTTGTGCCTATGATCCTGATGCTGGTTTACAGTTAGTTCTTCTTTATACCACCTTTTGGTAGGTACTAACCAGTGCATACCAGGAGCACATCTGCAAGAATTGCTGTTTTGGAGATTCTCCCACCCCGTCGTTTAGCCATGACTATTTTGCCCTTAACAAAGTCATTCAGATTTTTTTGTTTGCCCATTTTTCCTGCTTCCAACACATGAAATGAAGTTCTGGCTTTTCACTTGCTGCCTAATATAATCTTACCTCTTGGCAGGTGCCATTGTAACAATAAAATCAATTTTATTCACTTCACCTGTCAGTGGGTTTAATGTTGTGGCTGATCTGTTTAAGCTTCTCATAAAACTTAAATCATTCAAGTATTAAATGTGTACTCTGTAAAATACAGAATAATATAAGATCTAGAAATTATTAATAATAATTCTAAAACACAGGTTTAAGTGGGAGAATCCAAAAATGATGTATTCCAGTGAAAGACAGAGTAGTCTATTAGTTCATTATTTTAGGAATACTATTGAGAAATAGGCATTTGGATCATTAATCAAACCAGGACAACTTGAACTGGATTGGAGCTATATTATGTATACGACCTAGACCGAGCATTCAAGAATTTGCTCATCAAAGGTGCACATTTTTATTTATTTTCATGCACTGTAAAAATATCGTAAGACTTGATGCAGATTGGTTTATATTTATTTTATTTTGTGGATGGAATATCATTTTGTATAGTTTTTGAGGACAGATAAGTTTGAGAGTTTGGATGGCTTTCTAGTATATACTTGAAACCGCCATGCTGTGGATTTAATAAAGTTAAGCTAAGTAAGTAAAACATATCATGGTGGTACCAGTATCTTCTTTTGTTTTTTTGTTTTTTTTAACTCCAAAGCAATTTGTTTCCGTTTGTGGCAAGGTTTGTTCCAGTAAAGGAAAGCAATACCTTTTCAATGGGAAGTGGTGAGAGAAGCTTTATACGTATGTGAGGCAGAATATGTTTTTGTTGACAATTGGTTGCATTTAGATTCAAGGGTATTGTCACAGCAGAATGGATCAGATCCCTGTCTATCCATGTGCCATGAAAGGTTTGACAATTTCAAGCTCAAAAGCTTAAGGAGATTCACATTTGGCTCTTCTAATATGTCTAATGTGAGAATCACCGGCTTGTCTGCAGAAAACTTGTCTTCCTATCCTTTGATCCACGGATTAGCAATAAAAGACTTTTTTTTTTTTTTTTTGAGCCTGAACCTAGGTGAGCAGACGTTAAAAGGATGATGCTTGGGGGCTTTGCAAAGCTCTATAAAACATTCATGGCTGACAAGAATTTCCTAAAAGAATAGGGACCACAGTAACGGAAAAAGTGCTGAGCCTGACAGCTGTTGGCGGGATTTGTATTTGTAATTAATGTAAAAGGAAAAGAATGCAGTTCACAGGGGCTGGACACACCGACAATTAGTGGTAATTAGCAGTAGCCTGGAGCATGTTTAAACCACTCGCACTATCGCTTTATAACATTATACCAATGAAGTATCTCATTGTTGTAATAAAAAGAAATGTAAATTCATCATAGTTCTTTCAATTTACACAGCTGTGTACCTTGAGCGTTAATAAAATAATATCCATGTCTTTCAGGTAAAAACGGCATACAAGTGCGCATGTGTGCTACGTGACACCATCAACCCCTATCTCCTGCGACGTATGAAGGCTGATGTTAAGATGAGCCTCTCCCTCCCAGACAAGAGCGAGCAGGTGACAGACCTGGTCTAGCAATAATTGCAGAGCTCTGCTTCTGCCGGGGATCATATAATCTTGCATTATACTGGATTATTTATTACCTAAGAAAAGTCCAAATTTATTTTTGCTTTACCCAGATTTTCTATGAAATATTTCGCTCACTTGCAAGGTGCTCCTTTTTCGTTGTTATCCTTATTAATCTTAAACGCGACCTAAATTGTACTTGTATAGTCTTCTAATCAGTATAGAAATTAGATGAGATCAAACAGAAGCTTATTACATTTTCTTTTCGATTGCTTGTAATTAGACAACTTTCGTCTGTATCGCCCTGCGAGGAAAATTCATTCACGTCATATTTTACTTCATTCCTGAAAACATGAAGAAGCTGGAATTTAACCAGCACTGTTCCCAAATTAATACATTGTGTTTGGGTTGGACAGATAACTGTAGCGTTTTAGATGCAAGGTGGGTATAAATCCTGGCGAAAGCAATGTGAAATAGAGCAAACAGTAACACAAATATACAAAACACAAGGCTCTTAGGATTTGTCCACTTGCCTCATTGAAAGCTGTATAAAAGTCATGCAGAGAAAGACCCATACAATAACATGTAGGCAGAGGTTACATTATTAGTCAAAAGACCAGTAGAATACTAGAGCACAATATAAACAGAATAGAACTTGTCCTTTAAAAAAAATGAGTTTGCAGCACTGAACTATCTGACCTCAGTAGAGGTTTACTAGTGGACCTGTCAGATTCTACAACCATTCATTTTAATGAATACATTGGTTAATGTTTTTGGATTTTCATGGTACAGCATTAAACTAAAGATTAAGTAGGTGTAGTAGTAGTATGCGGAAAGATGGAGATGGTTTCTGCCCTTAGTGTTGATTTTTCCTTTTTATCTCTACAGGTTCTGTTTTGTCGTTTGACGGATGAGCAGAGACAAGTGTACCAGTCCTTCATCGACTCCAAGGAAGTCTACGGTATACTGAATGGAGACATGCAGGTGAAGTGGCTGTCTATGAGCTACAAAAGTGAATTACAATATAATATTCTAGACGTGTGTAGTCGACTTTCAACCAAATTTCAACTAGAGTGAATGCATTCTTTCTAGCAGTAATAAACATAAAAAGTATGTTCGTATATAATGGGAATATGTTATTAGGGAATATCATCATCATTTCTTCCCTTCTGATAAGTATCTAAGCTACAGCAACACATATTATATATGGCTCCCTTCTGCCCAGTCTTCTCGAGCACATACCCTGCCCACCACTACGGTACCAGGTGGAGGATACCTCACAGGGGAACTATGCTCTTAAGTAACTTCCCTTGCTGACACTACCACATCCCCGTGAGGGAAATGTCTGTTAACCAGCGTGTTATATAATATTGTTACACTCTATTCTCACAAAAAAAAGTATTCCGCAGGTCTCCCAAACCTTTTATTCTGTCATATGTCATAGTCTATGTTTTACATGTCATTGTGCCGAATGCCACCTTGCTTTTCTGTGGAATGCCAAAAATAAATAATTTTTTAAAAATGTTCATAAATTACATAGTAAAAAAAATTTCATAATCGTAAAGACCTTCTAGAATGAAGAGAAATATATCATTTTGTTGCTATTAAGGTGGTGTCCGTGATCAAACTGAAAAAGAGCCACAACTTGAGGATCTATTTTTGTATTTTTTTTCTTTGTTAAACGTGTTGTTTTACCTGGTGAGTCTACTGCCGTAGAGCTTTTTCATTGTCATGCCAGCATATCAAAGGGTTAGGCTGACTGTTTGGAGAGTATTCAATCATATTAATTAACAGATATTATGTGACTTTGAAGTGGTAAAAAGCTCATATATACATGAGTTTAAGGCACTTTTTATGCACATGCCTAAAAAGATTAATATTTTGTGGGAATTAGTGTACCGTCCATGATTATTCTGCTTGCAATCAGCGTAGCTGTAAAGAGTTAAAATTTCACATGTTCTTCGACATGCAGATTAATGTGGTTCCATGTTGCAGTTCGCCTCATCTCATCATTTTCTGTTCATAAAAGGTATTCCCTGGACTCATCGCCTTGAGGAAAATCTGTAATCACCCAGATCTGTTCTCAGGAGGGCCCAAGATTCTGAAAGGAACCAGAGAAGAAGATTTGGAAGAGCATGAACAGTTTGGATTTTGGAAGCGCTCTGGCAAAATGATAGTGGTGGAGTCACTTCTGAAGATTTGGCATCGCCAAGCACATCGCGTTCTACTTTTCAGTCAGTCTCGGCAGGTAGGAAACCAAAGAGAAATACAAAAATGTGCAGCCCCTGACATCTGCATTATTAAACAAACCCTTTAACATTTATTTCCCAGCATGAATTTCATATCCTAGAAAAATAAGTTTTATAATAGGTCCTGGTTTTCTATATATATTTTTTAAAAAATTGTTTTCTCAGATGTTGCAGATCCTTGAAGTGTTTTTAATGCGTAATGGCTATTCCTACCTCAAGATGGACGGTACCACAACCATTGCATCCCGACAACCTCTCATTACAAAGTTTAACGAGGTACCATGCAGTAACATAGAAACTTTAGTGTCTTGTAATTCAAGAAAACTATCGATATATAGTGTAAACACATACCCCCGTGTGTATATATACATGCTTATAACGCATTGTTTTGAATGTATGTATTGACAAGTGTAGATACGCAGACATGCTGTAGCATCTTGCTGAATTTTTATTGTCAGCACGACCTTGTTTGTTACAGGACCCTTCGCTCTTTGTCTTCCTTCTCACCACCAGAGTCGGGGGCCTCGGTGTGAACTTGACTGGAGCTGACAGAGTCATCATATATGATCCTGATTGGAATCCTAGCACTGACACTCAGGTGAGAGAAATATGGAAAACCAGCTATGTCTAGACATTAAGGGGTATGTTTACAATGGCAGAAAACACCAATAATATTTTTTGGTATCCAACTTGAACTATATACTCTTACTCCACCTTTTTCTAATATATGCTCGCATTGAAGATACCAAAGTGTAACTGTGAATTGTGACTTGAAATTCTCATATTGTGTTGGTTTATTTATTGTAGTCCCATTTTATGTTATATGTCCTCTTTCACGTTAGTATTGACAGAAACGTATTGCTATGTAGGTTTATTATGCATTGTGTTGGTGGAGTCAGAATATTGTTCAGAGCATTGGGCTGTTGTGTTGCAGGCTCGAGAGAGGGCCTGGAGGATTGGACAGAAGAAGCAGGTGACTGTATATAGACTGTTAACTGCAGGAACCATTGAAGAAAAGATTTATCACAGGTAGGGTCTAAAGTTATCCATGTCACTAACATTGTGTGAAGTACCCGACAATCACACACTAGCACTGCGTGTTGTTTCACTTGCCATATTGTATATTCACCAGTCTTTAAGTTTATTACTTCCTATTGTGTGACCTGAGATTCCTCACTGCTGGAGAGTGCTTGAACACCTCTTCTAATGTCTTCCAATGGGGGGGGAGCTGCATGAGGGTGTGATATCCTATATCCCTACAACTGCCCTCAGCATGACACCACATTAGAAAGTCACACAGAGATCATTGCATACCTAAGAGACACAAACTTGGTTATCCATGACTCTACTGACACCAGTGATGACAAGTGTGTATTATGAGCGCTTCCTGCTTATTCTGGGTCCCTATAATCAAAGGATAGCATACACAGGTATTGCAATCTGGAAGCCTGGTCAAATACAGATACTGCAGTCCGCTAGGAAACATTCCAGCGGGTTAGTCTTGGTCAGGAGAACATTGAGAGTATTGGTTATGAGGCCAGGCATAACTCCTACAGTGCTGAGCTAGCACACTATTCGTACACTACTCTTTTGCCAACAGACATACCATTCCTATTCAGCTATTTCAGTCCTAAAAAGAATGGTGAGATGTTGCAGCCCACAACCCTGTATGCTAGTGGCCCAGGAGGCAATTGCTCCCCTTGCCAGCTCTCCCATGCATTGCATCAATACAAAATTTACACTGACAATCATGCACAAAAACAAACCACACCTGTAATGCTAACCATAATCTTACTTAAAGTATACAGTTATGTTTTTCAATCCTCAGACAAATCTTCAAGCAGTTCTTGACCAACCGTGTGCTGAAAGACCCAAAGCAACGGCGCTTCTTTAAATCCAATGACCTGTACGAGCTATTCACCCTGAGCAGTCCAGATGCCAACCAGGGCACAGAGACAAGTGCCATATTTGCAGGTCTGTGTTGCTGGGTATCATGATATAAAAAGCTGTTAATGCCTCCAACCATCTCTGATATTTTTCTCAGTTTATCTCTAAGAATGTACCTCTTTTTTGGCATCAACAAATTCCGTCTGTTTTGCTTTCTAGGAACTGGTTCTGATGTTCGGATCTCAAAGCATTCTAGTAGAAATACTTTGCCAAATTCTGACCCAGATCCTCGAGAAGACCCACCAAACTCTACTGGACGTGTCCTTTCACCTAGTGACCAACCAACAACTTCCAATGGGATTTTCTCTCACTGCCAAGACACTACTTCTAACGGTGCTTTTAAAAAAACTTGCAAGTCAGAAACAGACACCATAGGGAAAAGCAAACAAGATTCCCTGCCAGTCTTGCCTGAAAATAGCCATCGTAAACACAAAGAAAAGACGAAACACCGGGGCAAGGCAGGCAAAGTCAAAAAGAGACTAAAGGATGCTAAGTTTGATGGTGAGAGAATATCTCACCTGGTAAAACACAAGCCATACCAGAAAGAGGAGAATGAATTTGCCGATCGGCGAACAAATGATGATTATGTGTTGGCGAAGCTTTTCAAAAAGTCTGGTGAGTTAGGTTTTTCTTTTCAGGGTGACCCTGTTCACTATAAATATCTTGGCCAAATGGTGTGAGGGTAATAACCTTTACTGGCCAACTAAGATTATTAATAGTGCAAGCTTTTAAGACTATTTGTGACTTCTTAATGTATTAACAAAAACGAGGTTATCCCCCTTAAGTACAGCTGTAAATAAGATTATGAAGATAGCAAATGAAATACTCCAGAGTGTAAAAAAGAGGAGAAAGGTAGCTCCATCATTATTCAGTCAAATTTTAAAGGGAGCTATTACTTCTCTGAAAATGTCACCAGTGAATAAAACCCTGAAAACCACCTACAACTTTTATTTAATGTATATATAAAAAACTTGGTAAATGACATCACAATCTAGTTCACACCAGTGCATGGTTTCTCCTCCTCTCTGTATGTTGATTACAAGGTTCAGAAGGCAGAGCTTATAACAATTATACATACATACATACAAGTAGGCGGAGTGTAGTTGTTTCTTGGGTGGATGGTACTAGATGATACAGAAATAAATAGCGATGTATACTGAAAAAGACAAAGGGGATAGCCAAATTGTAGTGCAATATTGTCAAATACAGATATATGGGTAAAGAAACAATCTTTAGTCTTATATTCACAAGAATCGAACCGGTATAATTAAGGTCAATGTATAGACTTGTGGGGATCCCACTCCCTTTCTGTACTAATCAATAAGATTAGTTTGGCATGATCTCCCTGAAGTAAACCCATGTTGTCTCCGATCTTGAAATCCATGTGTTTTTAGATGTTCATCAATCCTACCCTTTAACATAGTTTCCATTACTTTCCCCACTACTGAAGTAAGGCTTACTGGCCTATAGTTACCCAACTCCTCCCTATTACCTTTCTTCAGAATGGGCACAACATTCGCTAATGTTTAGTCTTCTGGGACTACTCCTGTTAACAATGATTGGTTAAATAAATCTGTTAATGGTTTTGCTAGTACACCACTAAACTATTTTAATAACTTTGGGTGGATTCCATCAGGTCCCATTGACTTATTTGTCTTTACTTTTGACAGTTGAAATAGAACTTCTTCCTCTGTAAACTCACACATAACAATGTACTAATTTGTTCTTTTTCTTAACTGCAGTCCCTCTACTTCCTTTCTCATTTATGTATCTAAAAATGTTTTATCCCCCTTTTTTACTGACTGTGCTGTTCTGTCTTCTGTGTGTGCTTTGGCGGCTCTTATAACTTGCTTTGCCTCTTTCTGCCCAGTACCACAGTGGTTTATTATTTTTTCTGCTCTTCCTGACAAGCCTAATGGAATTTTCTGTTGCCTTTACCTTCAGTAATGTGTGATTTCTTCATGGACACTATAGGCACCCAGACCACATCATCTCATTAAAGTGTCCACAGTGTCCCTGTTCCCTTAACCCTGCCTTGTAAAACATTGCAGTTTTATGGTGTTAAGACTGCCTCTAGTGGCAGTCCAGCATGTTAAAATGCTCATTGGAAAGCCACTCCTTTCCTGTGGAAAAGGCCTAATGCATGCACAGTGTTCACCACACATTCACAATAGGTTCTTACCATGGCTGATGTCAGAGGAGCCTGACTCAGTGCCGAGGGACATTGGCGCTGGAGTCTAGTAAGTTATTAAGCACTTTACAGGGTGCAGGGCAGAGTTACACTATAGTTTTAGGAATACAAAGCTGTATTCCTAACATTATAGTGTTCCTTTAACCATGGCATGTTATGGGACATAGAAAAAAGGGCTGCCCACTCATATGTACTCACACCTTAAAGGTGCAAAAACACACACCACAGCCATTCAGTGTAAAACTCAAAAAGAAAAATGTCAAAAAACCACTCCAGATTTATTGAGGTCTCCACAGCATATTATGAATGTTTGTTTTTGTTTCTTTTAGCAGAGCTCCAATCAAGGCATGTAACCGATATTACACTCCCACTTATTACTTGGGAATTTCAGAATTTCTGACTGTCCTCATCTTATTCAATATTTTAGGAGTGCACAGTGTTATGAAACATGATGTTATTATGGATGCTTCTAATCCGGACTTTGTGCTGGTGGAGGAGGAAGCAAGTCGAGTTGCCCAGGAGGCTCTTAGAACCTTAAAAATCTCTCGTCAGCGTTGTCATGCAGCTACCTCAGGAGTCCCAACATGGACTGGATCAAATTCTAGAGCTACCTCGGGAATCAAGTGAGAACATAAAAACCTGTAGAGAGAGAAACCTTAATGTTCTTTAGTCACATTGGGAAAGAACTAGAGCCTCGGGGAAGAGGGGGGTAGCATTGGCAGGAAATCTAGATTATGTTTATAAAAGATGGCAGTAGTGCTACAGTTTTTTTCGAATCCAGTCCTCAATAGGGTTAAACTAGATTTAAATGATCGTTGCGGCTTAATTGAAGTGAATATGTCATTTCTGGGCTATCAGTAGCCATGAGAACTGCAATTGCCAACATCTATCACCGGAGTAAAGGATGCTCCGTTATGATGAAGTGACACCGCAGACCTTCCTGCAGTGAGATTTAATTCTGAGGTAGCTATATTTTGATCATATTTCACATTCACCATCTTGAAAATGAGACACTGTGAATTAATATTGGACTTTCCTCCACCAGCTTGTTAGTTAGTTAATTTAATTTCACAGTTTATGTGAGCTTATATCTATCTACCTTATCTTATATGTATATGTTTTTTTTCCAATTCAGTATAGTGAATTAATTTTTTGTCTTTTGGTTTGCAGGAAAAGGTTTGGACAGAAAAAGAATCCTTTGTTGCAGACACCTGAGGTTCCTGTCAAATCACAACAAGACAAATGCAAGGTAGTGATAATTTAGTCTCTTAACCGTATTTACATTTATAGTCTGTAAACTGTCACAAAATCTACATTTGCAGGGGTTTCTATCATGATTAAAGAAACACTCCAACATTAAAAACACAATATTCGGTTTTAAAGATTAGTGTTCCTTTTATTGCTCTAAATGCCAAACGTTGCCCTCCTTCCCCTTTCCAAGCATAAAATAAAGGTAACTTATTTTCTCCAGAGGGAGTCCTCTGTCTATGCTGCTCCACTCTACCTGGGAAATTTTCAGTGATAAGTCTCCTATCCTCTCTGGCCAAATTTGGTACATGCGTGCAATTGCTGAGAATTTGCCAGTCACATGCAGTGATTACACAATAGAATGCCTCTTCTAGGAAAGCATTAGACTAAAGCTTCTCTATGGAAACTCTCACAACAATCGTGCCGATGGACACTTTTATGAATTGGTACAAAGTGAGCATACACTTAGCTCCTAAAGCTGAAGTGTTTTATGAGACTGGAGTGTCCCTGTAATGCAGCTTTAAATGTATTATAAAATGTCCTGTTTTTGATCAAAACGAAGTTCTGTGTGTAATTCACTAAAGATACTGACTTTTATATATATATATATATATATATATATATATATATATATATATATATATATATATTTATATATATATTTATATAATATATATGTGTGTGTGGTTTTTTTTAATGAGCAGCAAAAAATTACACAACCTAAAAGGAGCTATTACATGCGTGTTACCTTTGGTTTTAAATGATTTATTTGCAAAGACGCATTTAGGTGACATGACTACTTTAGGGACCCTGGGGAGAGGGGTGCCAGTCGCCACATATCTCAACCTCTATCATATTAGCCTGTTCATTAAATGTTAACATACTACTTGTCACTAGTTTAATCTCAAGCTAGCATGAGAGTACAAATAATACGGGGATCTTGGACCTGTGAAATAATATGCCATAAATGTAAAAAAAAAAAGGTACCTGTTCCATGGCTGATTGGAAATGGCAAGGTATGGCACTATTTTTTTTAGGTTTTTCATAAAGATTCTATGGAGAGATGAGAAGGTACACCTCAAACCTGAAGGACCTCAAAGTCATACCAGTCAAGAGTGGCTCAAAAGTGCTATAAAGTGCAACATCTCAGCTCCTGAGAGTCTCTAAGCTAATACACATTACACACAGTGCAATATATATAGTGATAAAAAAAGATTGTGACTATACAAATAGATTCACATGTGTTTAACATGCTGGACAATTAACAGTCGTTCTTGGTGTCATCCTAATACAATACAAAATGCAATTGAAAATGTGTGTGTCTGTGTACACACTGTGTATATATTCGAGAGAAATTTCATAAAGTCATCGTGTGAATCCTTTCCATAAAAAAGTCTCTCCATAAGCATTTGCAGTGTGTACATTGCTATGGATTTATATGGCACTGGTGGAAGGCTTTGTTGCAATGTCACAATAAGTTTTTGTACATAATTGTCACCCACCTGTACCTACCAATGCTTGATACTCAGGGTTATTCAATAAAGTGAAAATTCAAGATGAATTCAAAGTAAATTTAAGGTCAAAATAGCTAAGATGGAATTATTGGGGTGTGGGGGGGAGAGATTGAAGGGGAAAAAAAACTGAAAATGCCTTCAGTTCATGTATTTTGGCCTTAAATTTGAAAATCACTTTAGTAAATAACCTTGACTGTCACTTTAGCGTCAAGAAGGATTCAACTCCCCAATCTTATGGCAAATACAGATAGTGTGAAGTGGCAAACTTGATGGACTTGAGTCTTTTTTTCAGCCATACACTAGTAACAGACAAGACAAACTGAAATGGAAAATAGTGTATGCTTGTATTGTAGCTGGGAGCAAAAGTGTTGTTCGTGTTGCTGCCATATTCTCCCATTGCTTTGCAAAATTTAAGGCACAAATAAATTTTTGTGCATATCTCCTATGCATGGATATAAAATTTACATAGCATTCAACATATATTGTCCAAGATGGTGCAAGGGATATCAGCCATCAATGACTGACAGCTGACAAATGCTTAAGAATTTAAAGACACCATAAGCAACACAGAAATCGCCAGGGCTTAACCAGTACCTAAACCCTGGCAATTACAAAGGCTTGGGTTTTAGTTGCGAGGAGAGGCCCACCTTTTGTCCCACTGCTCAAAATTATTTTACTTTAACCATCAAGACAATACATGAAAACTTTGCACCTTAACCACTTCAGCTCACTGTAGAGGTTATGGTGTTTAGATTGAGCCTTTAAAGGGACTTTACAGTCCCCAAAACAGCAATAGCTTAAAGAAGCAATTTTATTGTATAGATCATCCCTCCAAAGTGTTACTGCTCAATTCACTGCCATTCAGCAGTTAAATCACTTTGTTTCTGTTTATGCAGCCATAGCCTCACCTCCCATGGCTGTGACTGACACAGCTTGCATGAAAAAAATTGGTTTCACTTTCAATCAGATGTAACTTACTGTAAACGTGTTTATTTCCTGTTCTCTGAGTTATTTAACTCCTAAATGGCAGAGAATTGTGCAGTGATACTGCAGGGACATGATCTATATATCAAAACTGCTTCATTAAGCTAAAGTTGTTTTGGTGACTATAGTGTTCCTTTAAGAACCAGAGAGATTGTACTTGATATTAATCTTTTATTTGTCTGCTTAATTAAACTTTTCCTTTTTGCAGGATGCCAAAGTCTTAAAGCAACAGGATAGGACTGTAGATGATGCTTCTTTGCACTTTAGTGGAGATCTCAGTACTGCAGAGTCCACGTCTGCCACCCTCTCTTCCTCATCACTTCTTTCACGCATGAAAAAAAGGAACAATCTACTGCTCCCTGTCACAGAAGACCAAGATACAGGAGCGAATACATCGCTGCCAGACCCCACTGAGCATGACGAGCTGCTGACAGACATGAGAAATTTTATTGCCTTCCAAGCAAGAGAGGATGGGGAAGCTAGCACACAAGAGGTGTTACACGAGTTTGAGAACAAACTTTCCCAAAAACAAACGTGTGTCTTTCGAGAACTGTTACGTCATCTCTGTACCTTCCACAGAAAGAGTGACAGTACAGGCGTTTGGAGACTGAAGCCTGAATTCCGCTAGAAATTCCTGAAAGGGACAAAAAAAGTTAGAGGTGCAATACTTTAAAACCTTTTTATACTGATAGGTCAATAGTGAGAAACTTCAAAGACAGAAGCTGGGTAGGTACCAACGCAGTTAAGTAATATTCACCACCCATTGCAAGGAAAGAATGTATTCTTCCTAAACTGATAGGGAATCATGGTTTTCTGTAGTGGCAGTAAGAGTATATATATATATATATATATATATATATATATATGTGAAAATGGGGCCATTTATTAATGATTTTAAATCCGTGGACTGCTGCTATCACTTGAGTTTATCTGCTTATCTGCAGTCTAATGAAAATTCAGAGATGATATTGGTAGCATTAACTGCAGAAAGGAGTAGGCAATCTTTGACTTTCCCAACTATAAATGAATTACATATCCCATAATACAAATCTGTGTTTGCAAAGAATCATGGGAGATGTAGTTTAGCAGTTGCTGAACATCAGATGCTGTTGATATCAACTGACCATTCTTGTATTAACTGCGTGTAAATGAGTTGAGCGGTCAAATCTACATGTCTGTTCAATTCAAATGGTAAATCTTTTTCTTCTGTTATTTATTTTTTTATTTATGTGTCCAGGACTATGGCATTTAACCCATCCAAGACTACATGCATATTAGAACTGTCACAATCAAAATGTTTTGCCTTACCCTTACAAATTCCAGCAGCAAGGGAGGCTTTGATTGGTTTTCCGAAGAACTTTATGGATATACCATTTTAAGTTAAGTTGTCTCTTAATTTCTGACAAAATCTCTTCTTAAAAATGAACTTGTTTTGCAAAAATCAGCTAAATCAATAACCGCAGACAAAATAACCAATACATGATTTATCATTATATAAATATGTATATTTGCTGTACCTGCTCAATTGCTTCCATTCCTGGGGGTTCTGTTGGTTGTTGCACTTTTGTAAAACCCACTTTTCAGTCCTCCTTGCTCTGTCTCCTTCTGCTCAACAATTGGCCCTGCTTGAAGTTACTTCCACAAGCAGGGCAGTCCTACCCCATGATGCCTAAATGCTGGCTTCATGGTTAGGACATCAAAGTCAGAACTCCATTCCTTTATTCCCGCTGCAAGCCCTTTTCACGCTTTGGTGGGGATATAGATCTAGATAGATAGATAGAATGGATTCTATATATCTATTCTATATATATAAAGAATGGATTGATATGTAGGAAGGGTCCAAACTTTAAAGAGCTTTAAACTAAAATCTATACATTTACTGTAATTTTGCCTGCACGATGTATATATGAAATGTAATGCTCCTTAATTTAAAGGTAACTTGTGTGTACCATGACATGTACATATAAACAACAACAAAACTTTGGTCCCCTTTGATATAAAGATGGTGCAAACACACCTTTTGAAGATCTGTTTACAGCCTTGTGTAGAATTTAACACCTCTGCTGTTCATTTTATTCTGCATGAATCCTTTGTTTTCCTTGTAATTAGTGGTGTTTTTCCCTTTAATGAGCCAATAAACATTAAAACTAACAGTCAGCTCTCAGCTAATTAGACAGAGAGGCAGACTGGCTCACATGTTCTGTGTGGCTCTGGCTGGATCAACCAAAGTGCACTCATTCAGACTGTCAGTTATATGCTTGCACAGATCAACGCTTATTCACAGCTTGCCTTGGCAAATAGCAAACCTTGTCAGCCTAGACGCTTGGGAGTTACACTTCCTATTACTGTTATCCATCATCACTGATCTAGGATGTGAACAAGCAACAGTACAGGTTATTTTATGAGTGTGCAAAAGGAGCACTTTAAAATCCTGGTGCTATTCTAAAATATCAAGTTTGCTTTAAAAAAGTGGAGATACCTTCGCTAAGTACCTTGATACTGAGAAAATACTGGGTTATTCACTAAACTGTGAAATGTCATAAATTCAAATTGATTTCCATTGCCAAAATATTCTAACCGAAAACATATTAGGACAATTTTTCCAGTTTAACTATTCTTAAAATTAGAAATTCAGTATGAATTTATTTTAAATTCACCATATGTATTTTTATGAATAACCATGATTGGAATGACGATTGCCTTTTTCACCCTTTAGGTAATCTTAAAATGCAAAAACGGTATTTGATAATGATAGTGGACAGATATGTGGAGAACTTGGGATTAGACTGCGGAGTAGTTTTTAAAAAGTTTATCAATTTCTAGGGTTTCCATTACTAGCCAGTGCACTGCCAAACACCTGATTCATGGATTCCCAGGTGGGGTTGGGGGGGGAGGGAGCAAGAAACTGATGAAATCGTGCACAGTCACATCTACCTCAATTACAATGCAATACAGGATATTATAGGATCACATTATGTGAATTCTGTAATGCCTGGGTAATTTTATGCTTTTATTATTTTCTAACAAAACTAAAAAAAAAACCGATGAAAACATTGAAGGAGAGCAGAATTGGTAGTTCCCTCTAACCAATTGTAACAACTGCATGTTTTATGTTTCTGTTCTCGAAAAAAGCAAAAATAAAAATTTTAACGGTGTGGTTGATGTATTGTTTTCATTTTGTACCTTTAAATATAAGTCAATATCACATAATCTGCCATGCCAGTTTCTCTAATCCTCTATTACTATGTGGGTGATGTCACCTACAGTCTGCAACGCAGGATTTATCAACCTTAGGGCAGCAACGGGAAAGATTGTACAAAGGATGATCCGTTATTGGTGGCTGCTATCATTGAGTCAGTCTTCTTAGCCCCAATTCTATTATTGATATCCAAGAGCAGTGTGTCTCCCTCTCCACAAGCCCTGCTACCCAGCATTAGAGAGAAAAAAAAATACTAAAATTGCGAAAGCTGCCTGCTAGTGTCTGCTTTTCATTTAAACCCTTAAGGACACACGACATGTGTGACATGTCATGATTCCCTTTTATTCCAAAAGTTTGGTCCTTAAGGGGCTAAAGGGGCACTCGAAGCACTATTACCACTTCATCACAGTGAAGTGACAGTGTAAAGTCCCTGCAACCATTTTTTTTTTCTCAAATCATTCATGCTAAAGAACTTTTTTTTTTTTTGTGTGTGTAGGGCCACCTTTCTAGGTCTCTTACTCAGCCAATATACACTGCCTAGCTGGGGCAATATTAGTAAGGTGCAACTTTAATCTGGAGTCAGCACACATAGGATGCTAACCCCAAACACAGGCTGCATCGTGTCTTCCTGTGGCTGTTAACACAGCCAGCAATAGTCCAGTGACAGCATAGATTTATAAAGCCATTGCTTAGGAAATGTATCTGCAGGTTTAGGTTTTTTTTTTTTTTTTCCCAAACAAATAATTATATGCATTTACAAAATATAGCCACTTTTGGACATAGTATTATCTCATGGTTTGTTCTGTCTTTAGATCCTTTAATGACATTATTTTCCCATTAATACATCAGTGTGAACAAGGTCTGTCTGTGTGTATTTGAACTCTCTGCTTTCATATAAGGAGTATACTATTTAATAGTAGAATGTTTTAGGGGACGTTTTTAATGTTGTCTACAAGTTTTACCAACATGCTGTCACTAACCTTGGCGACTATCCTCTGTCCTCAACTATCCTCAACTTGCCCAACTTCAAGGGGGTGACTTTCTGACATTGGCTTCTTACGCTCAAACATGTCCTTGACAGACACCTGACTGTGGGGGCCTCTTCTTTTTCAAAACCTTAACTTTAGCAAAAGTGATTTACTGACTGACTTTAATGGTAACGGCTTACAAAGAGTATTATGGGAGCTGTTAACCACTTGTTAGCAACTGATTTTTGTGCATCAATGAGCTTTACGTAATGGATCAAAACAGAAAATGAAAAACCGTGCCAAGAAATATAAACAATGTTCACATCAACCTTATGGTGTAGTATATATAAAAATCAACATAGACCTACTTACATGAAATCAAAAGGGTAATAGTTCGAGTAAGAACCTCAACTAAGAAAAATTAACAAATAGTGCAATATATAATGGCAATTTAAAAGATGTGCTAAGCGTATGGGCTAACACCCTTTTATAAGCTACTTAGAGCTCTGCTGTATTGCGCATAGACTGTACAATCCCATCTCCGTATAAATATAATTCCACAGTGGTAAGTTATTACCACGTCCAGTGACAATTCAATATGTGAAGATGGTAACAGAGAAAATCCAATGGTGCAGTATATTATTGGAAGTGTGACTTAGAGGAATAACATTCTATGGTAGTAGGATTTGTTGGTATAATTCCCTTTAAATAGTTTATGTGTGTTATTATACTTCTACAACTTTATTTTTTAGCTCATTTTTCTGGTTCCTACAAATCCTAGTAGGGGATTATACCACCAAGGCCTTCTACAATCAGTTAGCCCTCTATACCCTTTTAGCACTTTTATATTGCACGATTTAGTACTAACCACTGCATATCGGAAACAGCCCACAGGACTTGCCGTTTTGGAGATGCACTGACCCAGTCGTCTAGACATCAGTATTTGGCCCTTGTCAAAGTCACTCAAATGATTGCAAATTTTCTCCTCCACTTTAAGACTGTGTGCAGAATTATCTAGGGCAGCGTTTCCCAAATGGGGTTCCGCCAAAATTTCTAAAAACAAAATGGCTGCGGGCGGCGAGGGAGCAGTGTCCAGTGATCTCCCTGCTCAGCTCCCTCGCGCGCACAGCTGTGATCCCGGAGCCGTAATATGACGTCACTCCGACTCTGGCATCCCTAAGAGGCGAGCAAGGGAGCTGAGCAGGGAGATCGCTGCTCAGCAGCCCCACTGGACCCCAGGGGAGGCACGCCAGCCGCTCAGCAGCCCCACTAGTCCCCGGGGACCACACACTCAGCCCAGCAGCCCCACTGGACCACAGGGACATAGATACTCAATGCCAGCACTCCCAAAGGTACGGAGGCTGGGTGGAGTAAAATTAAAAAAATAATTGTATGTGCGTCTGTTAGGGGGTTTGTATGTGTTTGTGTGTCTGTCAGTGAGAGTGTATATGTGTTTGTCAGTGAGCGTGCATGTGTGTCTGTCAAAGAGTGTGTGTATCTGTGTGTCAAGGTTTGTGTATGTGTCACTGTGTGTGTATTTGTGAGTCAAGATGTATGTATGTGTCAGTGTGTGTGTGTATCTGTGTGTCAGATACATACACTGACACATACAAATATATACACACACACAGATACACACTTTGTGTATGCGTCTGTGTGTGTATCTGTGTGTCACACACTGGCACATACAAACACAGATACACACACTTTAACACACGGGTTTCACAATGTTGATACACTATGTCAAAGGGTTTTAACGGGAAAAAATAATTGGGAACCCCTGATATAAGGGGATTCATATTATAGGCCAAAATAGCTATAGAGAAATGTAGTCCAAATGTCTTATTGTTTTGTTTTGTTATCCCTTCTGATTTAAAATGCCTTTGCCAAGTTTGTTAATGCACAGTTTAGTAAACTGTCTCTTATATACATGTATTTCTATATCAGTTAAAATACAGATTGTTACTTACTAAGTGTGCTGTCTAATAAGTACTGCTCAAGATTTCTGCTGTGCTAGCTTTCTTTAGGCTTGGTCCATGACATCATAGGCATGTGTGACATCACTAGGGCCTTTTTGAGTGCTGAAAAACCATTACTATGAGCCCCTCCCAACCAGGGACAGGACAGGAAATTCCTCCAATCAAAAAGGTCCACCCACCTTCCACCCAGAGTATTTTTCCTGTACTCACAGAATAAGCAGGAATTTTCTCCTTTTTAATATTTTTATTTTGGGCCACCTTCCAATGTGTACCATGGGCATACCAAATTACATTCAGCCTTTCTTTATCTGAAGGACTCAGTAAACAGCCTGCAGGAGCAGGACCAAGTGAGTCAAGTACAGATAAGTAGCTGTACTAGAATTCATGAAGATGGAGTTCAATAGTTATTTAAATGTCTAATACTATAGTTGATGGGGTTGGCTGTTGTCTTAAAAATTCCTCTTTCTTCACCATTAATCCCCATGGATCTTATGGGCAGAGTATTAGAAGTACTCCTTTTCCTTTGAATTTCTATGGATTTTTTTTTTCTCCTTTATCTTTCTTCTTACATTCTTATTCTTCTATTATTTTATTATTTATATAGCGTTATACATTCTGTAGCACTGTACAATGGGTGGACTAACAGACACGTAATTGTAACCAGACAAATAGACGCACAGGAACAGAGGGGTTGAGGGCCCTGCTCAATGAGCTTACATGCTAGAGGAAGTGGGGTAGAGTGACACAAAGGGTATAAGTAGGGGTAATGAAATAGGTTGCTAGAAAAGTATTCACCGAGTGCTTAGGTTATTTTTGACAGTTGCAGGAGGGAAGTCATGGGGGGAGGGGGAAATGAAAACCCGCTAACCGTTTAAATGATATGCTTTCCTGAAGAAGTGTGTTTTCAAAGATTTTTTTGAAGGAGTGGAGCCTGGGTGAAAGTTTTCAACAGAAAAAAGAAGGGAGTTCCACCGAAAAGGTGCTGCCCTGGAGAAGTCTTGGAGACAAGCATCAGATGTGAGAGTACGGACAGAGAATAGACATAGGTCTTCAGCAGAGCGCAGGGGCCACGACGGGACATACTTGTGTATTAGGGAGGATAGGTAGGTTGGAGCAGCATTATGTAGGGACTTGAAAGCAAGCACCAGAATCTTAAATAGAGCACTATATCTAATTGGAAGGCAATGTAGGAACTGACAGAGGGGTGAGGTGCGGGCAAACAGGAAAAAGAGCCTTGCCGCCCCATTCACTATAGATTGCAGCAGTGCAATCTGGGAACTAGCAAGACCAATGAGACGGGGATTGCAGTAGTTAAGGTGAGAAAGAACAACTGCATGGACCAGCACCTTAGCTGCGTCTGGTATTAAATAGGGGCAGATGCGAGCTATGTTTTTGAGATGGAAGCAGCAGGATTTGGCGATCAACTGGACATGAGGGGTGAAGGAGAGGTCAGAGTCAAAGAGAACACCTACGCTGCGAGGTAGAGGTGATGGCGCCATTGACTTGGAGGGAGACAGACACGGGAGTAGCAAAACTTGAGGGAGAAAAGACCAGAAGTTCTGTTTTGGACAGGTTGAGTTTAAGAAAGTGAGCAGTCAGAGACTCTGTGTGTCATCTACATATAACATGGAAGCCAAAGGAGCTGATGAGTTTACCAAAGGAAGCAGTGTAGACTGAGAACTATAGGGGACCAAGGAGAGAACCTTAGGAAATGCAAACAGAGAGGGGTTGGGGAGAAGAGGTAGAGCCAGAGAAAGAAACACTGAAAAGGTGCTGGGAGAGGTAGGAGGAGCACCAGGAGAGAGCAGTATCTCGTAGACAGAGATTACGGAGAATGAGAAGAAGCTGTTAATGATCAACAGTGTCAAAGACAGCAGAAAGATCAAGGAGAATTAGGATCGAGTAATGGCCGTGAGATTTAGCAGCGATTAAATCGTTGGATACTTTGGTCACAGCTGTTTCAACAGAGTGACGAGCGCAGAATCCAGACTGAAGCGTGTCAAGCAGAG